GCCGCCGAAGGGCGGGGTGGCGCCCCCCGGCGCCGCGGCCATGGCCGCGCGCGCCGCGCGCCAATGCCGAAACCGACCGCGCCGCTGACGACGCCGCCGTCGCCCCCGGCCGTCGCCGCGGGGGGCGCCCCTCCACCCGGGCATTTGGTCGAGGCCCCGCCAGGAGCAGCGGTGGCCCCGGACGCGCGCGCCCCCATGCGCCCACCGCCGGGGGCCCCAGTGGGCAGCGCGGTGCGCTGGGCGGGGGCGCCGCAAACGCCGCCCGCGGCGCCCCCAGCGCCGGCCGCGCCCGCCGCGACGCCGGGCGGTGCCGCGCAGCACGGGGCGGCGGCCGCCGACGCGGCAGACCGCACCCGGGCACCGCCGCCCGCCACGCAGCCGCCCCCCACCGGGCGGCGGGCGCGGGGAAGCCGCAGGGGGGCGCGCCCGCCACATCCGCACCCTCGCAGCGGTCGGGGCCCGTGGTTGCGGGTGCCCCGCCAGCGACGCCCCGGGCGCCCTGGGCGCAGCAGGCCCGCTTCTTGTCGCGGCCCATCGAAGTCGGGCCGAAGGCCGGCTCGCAGCCGCCGTTGGCGTTGCGCCCGCCCCCAGGCTGGGCGGGGCCGGCGGCCGCCCCCGAGGAGGATTTGTGCGGAGGTGCTGTGGTCGCGCGGGAGGCGACACCTGACGCTGCCGCCGCCCGGGTCGGGGCGGGCGCGCCGGCGGCGGCCCCCGCCGAGATGGGCGACGCGGAGCCTGACGACGACGGCGTGGAAGAGCTCGTCGCGGCCGTCCGCGCTGACATCGAGCTGATCGAGATCGCGGGCTACACGCTGCAGCAGGGCCTGGACAGGTTCCTGACCACGCTGACGTCCCTGGCGCCCCCCGAGGCCGGCCCCCGCCCGGCTGGCGCGGCCGGGGGCGCGCCCGCGGCGGCCCCGGCGGAGGCTGCGGAGGATGCGCGCGCCATGGCCCGCGACCTGGTCACGCGGCTGTCCAGCGCGGCGGCGGGCGTCAAACCGGCCATCCCGGGCTCGTCGGTGAGCTTCGACGCCCAGTTCAAGCTCGCCGTCCCGGACGCGAGAACGGTGGCGGAGAGGCTGCGGGACTTCCACGGGCCCGCCGGGCCGCCCATCCCGGTGCAGATCCTCGAGGAGGAGGCGGGCCGCCCCTGGCGCCGCCAGTCGGCGTCCGCCTGGAGCGCGGAGAAGGGCGGGGACAGCCGCCTCCTGGTTTTGCGCCTCCGCATCCCGTGCCGGTCTTCGCTGAAGAAGAACACGGGGGCTTCCGTGCAGTGGTCGCCGACCACGAACCAGGTCGTCGTGAAGGCCGTCAAGCTCAACATCACCGAGTACGCCGCGCGCTGGGTGGCAGCGTTCGGGCCCGTGAACCAGGTGAGCCCGTCGCCGGGCTCGTTCATCCCAACGGCGGCGGCGCCGCCGCCAGGCCAGCCGTCCGTGGCGGCCTGGCTGCAGCGGGGGGCAGTGGCGGCGAGGCGCCTAGGGGCGGACGCCGCAGGCCCGGCCGCTTAGCGGCCGAGGCGGCCGCCCCGCCCACCAGCGCGTGGCGCCGCCGTCGCGGGGCCTTGGCTTGGGCCAGGCTCACGGCGTGGGGATGCGGCGCCACGGGGCCCGGCGCGCCCCTCCGGCCAGGAGGGCGCGGAGGTGGCGTGGGCCGCGGTGGCTTGTGTAACTCGAGCTCGTGCAGTGCAGGGTGCGCATCGCCGCCGTCGGCCAACGCGGGGCGTGCATGCCGCCGGGGGAGCCAGAGGTTGGGCCAGGCTCATGGCGGCGCGGCGTGCCCGCTGGCCCGGCGGCACGTCGCGCGGCGGGCGCTCTCTGCTGCCGGGGGCCGCAGGGGTGGTGAGCCTAGGCTTGGGCCGGGCTGACCGGGCGGCGCGGCGGTGACGGGGGGCGCCCGCGGGGTGACGTGGGGGCGCAGTGCGTGGACGCGGCACTCGGAGAAACGGTGACGACCCGCCTGCCCCCCGCCTTGCCCCGCCGTCTCGCCCCTGCGCTCCCCCGCCCCGGCCTCCTCTGCTGCGCGCCTCGTCGCCGGCGCCCTGGTCCGGGCTCTCCAGGTCGCTGCCGCCGGGAGTGGCTGGGGGGGGGATCCTGGCGCGAGTGCCCCGCGCGGTCGCCCGTCGCGCCTCGGGACGTCGGCACTTCCTGACCGCGCGTGGCACCCCGCGCCAGGTAGCTCCCGGTCGCCCCCGTCGGCGCCGGGCGGGGCTCGGACGGGGGGGGGCGGCGGCCTGGCCCCCTCACTGCCGGACGGGCGGTGCAGGACTTGACAGGCGAGGCCACGCGGGCGCCGGGAAGGTGGGCGGTCACCCAAGTGCGGCGCTCCACGCTCCTTGGCGGAGCGGGGGGCGCATCGCGGGGGTCACGGCTCCCCCGGCGGCGCGTGGCCTGGCTGCCCCGAGGCCGGAGGCCGCTGGGGGGCCGGCGCGCTGGGGGGAGAGCGCCACCGCCCGCGCGGCGCGTGGCCGAGTTCCGGCCAAACTCGGCCACGTGAGGCGCGGACGGGGGCGCTGACGGGGCCGCGGGCCCCAGTGGCTGGTCGCCCTCTCCCCTCCTTCCCCCCCCCTTTGGTTCTTTTCGCGGGGGGCTCGGGGGGTTGGCCGTTGGGGGGCCGGCGCGCTGGTGGGTGGACGCCACCGCCCGCGCGGCGCGTGGCCGAGTTCCGGCCGAACTCGGCCACGCGGGGTGCGGACGGGAGCGCTGGTGGGGTAGCGGGCCCCAGCGGAGGGCCGCCCACCCCCCCACCCCCCTTCCTTTTCCTCTTCTCGTAGGGGGCTCGGGGGGGGGGCGCTGGGGTGCCGGCGCGCGGGGGGGAGGGCGCCGCCGCCCGCCCGGCGCGTGGCCGAGTTCCGGCCGAACTCGGCCACGCGGGACGCGGATGGTAGCGCCCCGACGGTGCCGCAGAGGATGGTCGCCTCCTCCCCCCCGCCCCTCCCCTCCGCGCTTTTCTTCGCGTGGGGAGCTCGGGGTGGGAGACGGTGCTGTGGGAGGGGGCCGCCCCCCTCGCGGCCACAAGGATCCGCGGCTGAGGCGTTGTGGGGGGACCGGACGCGCACATCCCACACCCCTTGGCGGACGGGGGCGCCGCGCTCCCCCGTGAAAGGTACCCCCTGGGGCAGCGGCGTCCCCGGCTCCCCAAGGCGCGGGAGCCGAAGGCCCAGGGGGCGGATGTTTTCCCGCGCCGGGGAGTCGCCCAGCCCCTCGGGGACCCCCTGGGGGCCGTCCCGAATAACATAGTCCGAAACATA